CAACGTTCTACGAAAGAAATATAATGAATGTTCAGTGTCCAGGCCCTGACCGAAAAAAAAAATCTCCACATGAAAAGCAGCTTAAAATGTGATGTACCAGGCATATGAAGGTACATGAAACACAGAAGTACACTCAGGGAAGAAATCGAAAGAAAAAAAAGAAAGAAGAGAGATTGGCAAAGGGAGAGCATATGGGAAAGGAAGAAAGACTGGCTGGAGAAAGTGAATACATGAAGGGCATTAAAAAAAAAAAAAAAATTGAATTTTTTTTTTTTGTTAATTAGCTCCGCTGGAGCGGTCGCTGAACTTTAGCCACACATTGCCACACAGTGTCTAGCTAAAGTGGATGCATGGGGCCTCTCAAGGTTGTGGTTTCTAGTTATGCCACACCTCCAGTTGGGGTCAAGGCTATGGGAAGCCAGAGACCCTTATTCAGTGTTTAACTGCTCCAAAATGATATAACACAAAATGGAGGGATGTTGCCAAGGGACTGAAAGAACTAAATCAATTCAATGAGGTTATAGTGCGTTCAGTACCCCCTTAAATTCTAAATAGGTGTTCTTTCTTCTCCTGGAATACTGGACCTGACTTTCCACAAGTTGTGGTTCTCATGAACACTCACCATCACATCAAAGTATTGCTGTACATTATGTGTTTATGGATTGTTTGCCTCAGACCATTATTCCTCCTACACCAAACTTTACAGTAGGCAATATGCATTTTGGGAGGTAGTGTTCTCCTCGCAACCGTCACACCCGGATTCTCCCAATAGACTGCTAAATAATGCAGTGTGATTCATTCTTTCAAAAAATATGTTTCCACAACTCCATTGGTGGCCTGCTTTATGCCACTCAAACCGATACTTGGCACTGGACATTTTGATGTGAGGCTTGTGTACAGTTGCTTAGCCATGGAAACCCATTTCATGACGTTCTTCCAGAAACAGTTTGAAACTCTGTAAGAAGTGATAAAACTAGGCTATGTTTACACTCTTCAGCACTCAGCACCACTGTTATGTAAGTATGCGTAGTCTATGACTGTGGCTGGGCTGCTGTTGCTCCTTGATGCTTCCATTTTCCAATCTTAGTACTTACAGATGACCAGAGGTAGTAGGGCAAAAATGTCAGAAACTAATTTGTGGCAAAGGTGGCATCCTACGACAAGTGAGGCCTTTAAATTCACAGAGCTCTTCAGTGCAAGTCAATTTACTGCCAAGATTTGTCTTTGGAGATTTCATGGCTTGAGGCTGAAATACCTGAATTCAATAATTAGTATGTGTATCCACATATTTTTGGCCGTATAGATTATAACGTGTTTATTGTATGTGTGCATTGTACGTATAGGCTTCAGCTAGTGTAAGTCGTGTATAAAATGTACGTGACCTGTGTATGGGCTGGATATGCATTAATATGTCCTGGATAACTTTTCACAGCTTAAAATTTAAAGTCCAATGTTAATAGCCAGGCGTTAAAAATTGGTCGCCACTACAAACCTCAAGGGTCCATAACACTCACACCAGGGGTGAACATGTACTTGCTAGGGCTAGAGGGGAGGTTTGAGCCCTGAAACATTTAATGTATAGAAAGATCCTCATATATTCGGATTCAGGTATTGTGTATTTTCCACCTACAGTAGAAATTCAATATGCTGTTAAGTGCTATTGGAATGCAGGGCTAGCAATCATTATGAATGGAATTTTACACTGATTGTAATCAAAACATTGATCTGCAGCCAAACATGTTATGGAAGCTGAGTTCACACTTTGCTATATTTCCCGTTAATTTTGCCATGGCCTCAAGCCCAACATATTCACGAGCCGGGAAATTTATGTGGACACATATTCTTACAGGCTCACTATAGATCAGTACAACATTCAAACTTTTTTTTAATGCTACTAGTGCTATTATTATTTATACGGTCTTTTTGTTGCTTCTATATCATTGACATTTAACCCTAAATAAGCATACCAAATGTGTTTGTATTGCACATGTATGGCACTACATTGGTTAATTTAATATACATAATATGGCCTAGCTCTGACCAGGCAGCCTGGCATATGATGTAAAAGAAACAAAGACTAGGAGACAGAAACAAAGTTGTTGGCAGAGTGTGACCTCAGTTGTAGACCACTTCTATCCGATTCTTGCCACAAAGATGGGGGCTACAAACTCCAAATAGTTATGAGTGCAAGGATAGGTGGGCTCCAGTCTGGGCCTGTGGGCATGGATTGGTGGTAAGGGCAGAAGTAAGATAAATACTGTGCATTTAAGAGGGTGATGGTGAGCATAAAAGCAGAACAGAAGGATATGATGGACAAACAAGGGGAAATATGTTCATCCTATGCATTCGATGAGAACTAGAGAATGGTAGTCACAGGAGGACTAAGAAATGGCAGACATAAAAAGGAGGATTAGGAGAGAAGGCATAGATCAAGAAGTTGGGAATTGTAGGGAGTTGTAGGGGAACTGGAAGATGGTCATAGAAGGAAGACATTCTAGAGTCATTACACATTGTCCCTTCTATACCCACCATGGTCTTCATCAAAGGAGATATGTATAGAAAGAAGGCAACATCACTGATGGACATAAGAACACCTTGGATAAATAAAAATTCCTGTTTCTTTCAATGCATCATCCACAAATTGGAATATATTGTCTTATGTGATGATTCTGAAAAGCCAAAATGAAAGCAAAGAAGACTTCAAAATGGAAAGGATTAAGTGGCTAGTGCTTGCCACTTTCCTTGTGTGCAGATTTGGTATAATACATAATTCATGATTTATGCATGCAAATACATTCAGATTTAAACTTACAGTTAGCACATTATCCTCCTATTCATGTTTTCCTTTGAAACCCAGGGTTCTGAATTCCAGAGCCAAAACACCAAATAGATAGCTCTGAACTTTCTCGGCACGATTACACACTGCTGAATGCATAATAATGCTGGTAATGTAATCTCTCTTGTCTTCACTAAATACCATATAAGCGAATCTGTTTATTGAGCACCATAATCCAGAGTGCCAAGTTCCAGAACCAAAAATCACACTGGGTTTTCAGCATTACAAACCTTATTGCAGATACTACAATTTCACATTATCACACGATCTGAATATAATAAAAATTTTTGCAAACGCCAACCAACATGACGGTTTACAACGTTGAAACAACATAAGGTGACTGTAATAATGGTCTAATCATGGTCAGACTCATCCCTTCCACAAGGGCTGTGATACATATAATGTGCACTTAGGAGGAAATGTATCACTGGAGGATTTACTGAGAAAAAAAAAAACTGGTTTCCCCACTTTCAAACAGATGTGGCCTATCTTAAAGGACTACTATAATGCCAGGGAAAACATACTCTTTTTCCTGGCACTATAGTGCCCTCAGGGTTCCCTCCGCTACGATGGAGAGTGGGGTTAAACTTACCTCTTTTTCCATGCTCGGACGGGAGCTCCCTCTTTCTCTCTTCCTTTCTTGGCTGAATAAGCATGCGCCGCAGAAAAGGAGCCACAATACTAGAAGTTGTAGTCCATAGGAAAGCATTCGATAATGCTTCTATGGACGCTGAGCGCCTTCACTGTGATTTCACAGTGAGAAACGCTGAAGCTCTAGCGCTGTCAATGAGACAGCCACTAGAGGCTGATTAACTTAACATAAACATAGCATTTTCTCTGAAACTGCTATGTTTACAGCAGGCAGGGTTAACCTTAGAGATTAGGCACCCAGACCACCATTGCTGAAGTGGTCTGGGTGCCTATAGTGGTCTCCAAATAATTGTATCTCAATCTCTAAATTGAACTTAACTGCTACAGGAGGCTTTACGGGTCTACTGTCATTAACATAGCAGGGGATAAGACAATCTTAATTAAACAGAACTTGCAATAAAGAAAGCCTAAATAGGCTCTCTTTACAGGAAGTGTTTATGGAAGGCTGTGCAAGTCACATGCAGGGAGGTGTGACTAGGTTAATAAACAAAGGATTTAACCCTAAATGAAGTAGAGGATTGAGAAAGTGAGGCTTAGGCATGTTCTATACACCAAAACTGTTTTGGCTAAACTAAAGTTGTTCAGTAGACTATAAAGTGTCCCTTTTAATACTGCTCACTGTAATTCCTGAATTCCTATCACACAAGAAAACAAATATATAGCTTAGTATCTGAAGCATTTCTTAATTTAATAGAGGCGCCTGGGAGCTTTTAACAAATAATTAGTTGGGTCAAACCAAACATATCTGTGTGCTTAAAGGCGAAGAATGCTTTAACCAAATCTGAGATTATTGAGCCTTCCAGAAATCCACATTTCCGGAAAGTCAGATATTATCAATTAATCAATGACAAAAAGCCTGACTAGAATATCTTCCTAAATAGTCCACTACTATGGATATTTAAACTTATTACATCAATACAATATGTCCAACGGCCAGGACAAAGCTTAAAACTGCCACTTTCACAATAAAAGTAAAATCAAATCCTCTTCTGAAAAATGATATACCAGTAATAGAAAAGTTACATGAACACAGCATTGCCCAACTATCAGCAGCAAGAATCAACATTAATCCCTCAAACAGAAATACATTTTCATATATATAATACAAACTAAAGGTAATAATTGAGACACCGGAAATGTCTACAACTTAACAGCTGTTCTGATGAGTATAGTACGTCCTTGCAAACACTTTTAATGTAAACACTGCCTTTTCAACGCAGAATTATTGCCTGGGGAGACCACCAGTCACCAGAAGGCCACTAGGAGGAGCTTTTGGCTGCGCCGCATCAACGCTCAGCATTCCTGCGACTCTGCATGGAGGCACTGAACTTTAAGTCAATGCACATGTCTGAGGAGATGCTGATTGGTGCATGTCATGGTTGCATTAATGCTTATACCTCCTCAATGCTTTCCCTACATGAAAGCAATGGATTGGCTGGAGTACTAACCAATCCTGCTCTATTCAAACCATCAAGCGAGAACAGTTCTGTTGCATACAAATTTAGCATAGCATGTTTATTGCTAACCACGAGTGTCTTATAGCCTGTTTTTAACCCTTAACATGCTCTTGAATCGTATATGCCTGTTTTAACCTCACCAAGTTGACTATTCAATTTACCTAAATCCTCGCTTAACCTATAATATAAAAATGTACTAGTACTAACTAATCCTGCTCTATTCAAACCATTAAGCGAGAACAGTTCTGTTGTATACAAATTTAGCATAGCATGTTTATTGCTAACCACGAATGTCTTATAGCCTGTTTTTTTCATGAGAAAAAAAAAAAATGTGCCGTTTAACCTGCCACACTTTGGAATTCTATGAATCTGCTTGCAGCGGCTGTTGTGGCTCTGCATGCTTGTTGTTACTTCATGCACAAATAAAATAAAGAATGAAAAAAAAAAAAAAAAGAATCCGTAGACCTGCGCAGAGCTGCAAATGTTTTTATACTTTTTTTAAAGGGGCAAAGAGGGGGCCGTGGGTCTAACATGGTTTTTTTAACACTATAGGATCAGGAATACATGTTTCTATTCCTGACCCTATAATGTTCCTTTAAATAAAAATACTGTGTATATTTCCTAAACCTCTGACCACTCATCTTTATCCCATTTTGCATTTGGAACACTAGAATGACACGTTAACCCCCTCACAACCAATCTGAGCACAGGAATGCTTAGATTAATACTGCTCTAACTGCATGCTGGAGATCTAGACAGTATTACGCATGTTTGGGTTCATACGGTGAATAACAATTATAGACAATGGGTGGCCAAAATGTAGTCGCCAGGCAGCTGCGATAAAAAGTATAATAGGAATTGTAGTCCTAAGAGCTGGAACACTACCTTAGAACACCACTGCTTCAGAATGTACTGTAAATTGGTTCAGTACGGCTCTCTGAAGACTCAGCTCCGGACACCCAACCCCGTCAACTTCTCTTGCAATGTTGTTAATAGAATTCATTCTGACTAATTCCTGCAGTGATGAACAAACAGCTAAAGAGCTCTTCTAATTAACACCTCATTCCCTTCCCCCTACCCCCCCCAAAGTCACCCACGTGCCCCAAATCAAAAAGAAAGAGTCAGAGAATTAGAAAGGAAGAAGGCTAGAATGAGAGGGCAAGGCAGACAAGGACATCCAGGAAACAAGCGAGATTATTCATAAAAGAGCTTGTTCATCAAAGTGATTCAAGTGGAACGTCTCATTAAAGAAGCCACAGTTTGCCAATGTGATGAATACAGTCCACAGAAAATAGGAATATTAGTTCTAAGGATGATATGACTTGATGATGAAGAGACAATTCCCAGCTTTCTTTACACATCAATTCTATAGTTACCCTATTGTTCTTCTCTGGATACTGAGAATCAAAGCTTAGAATGTGCATGGAAACCCTTAGGGGATTGTCCACTAAAAGACCAATTAAATTTTAGCCCAAGGTGAAACTTCTGTGAAAATGATCATATTTATGTATTTTTAAAATGCACCTGTTACAACAGCTGTTCTTAACCCCTGGGGTTAAATTTGTACTTACTGACTGGAAAAGAGAGATCTTATTCACCAGCCCACAATACATTACTTAATACAGCATCACTGCCTTCCAAGTACATAGGAGAGGCTAATGATGATGTTTTGCAATTAAGGGACGGGTCACAAAGCTATTGCCTTGTAGATAATTTGGGTCTTGTGTAAAAAGGTGAATGGGTTATTTGCAGCATTATAGCCACTGCTGCACTCTGTAATTGTTATGATGTGAAGAGAGCCATGGCCCCTTTCCATGACCTGCAACAGTTTGACCTCTTTCTTGGGTCCCTGCCAGTTGCCGAGGGTTCTCTAATGGCTAGTAATATGTTTACAGCGAACTGCTGAAGCCGGACGTCGAACCTGTTGATCATTCACTGGCCAAGAGCTTCGGCTGGGCGCTCTCAGCCAATGAATGACGCATTTTATTTACTTAACCCCTTAAGGACCAAACTTCTGGAATAAAAGGGAATCATGACATGTCACACATGTCATGTGTCCTTAAGGGGTTAAACAAGGATTATAGTGCCAGGAGAACAAACTCGTTTTCCTGGCACTATTTGGTCATTAGGTCCTCCCCCACCCTCAGGGCCCCCCTCCCACTGGGCTGAAGGGGTTAAAACTCCTTCAGCTACTTAACTTTATCCGACACCAAGCTCCCTCTGTGCTGGGGAACTCTCCACCCCATGCCGACGTCAGATCTGAATGCGCATACGCGGCATTCAAACAGCCCATATAAAAGCATTACTCAATGATTTCCTATGGATGTCCAGTGTCTTCTCATTGTGATTTTCACAGTGAGAATTGTGGAAGCGCCTCTAGCGGCTGTCAGTGAGACAGCTACTAGAGGCTGGATTAAACCTCAGTGAAACATAGCAGTTTCTTTGAAACTGCTATGTTTTGAGCTGCAGGATTAAAACTAGAGGGACCTCATTGAGCTGAAGAGGTCCGGGTGCCTATAGTGGCCCTTTAAAGGGACACTATAGTCACCAGAAAAACTACAGGTTATTGTATTTGTTCTGGTGAGTTGAATCATTCCCTTTAGGCTTTTTGCTGTAAACACTACTGTCTTTTCAGAGAAAATGCAGTGTTTACATTACAGCCTAGTGATAACTCCACTGGCCACTCCTCAGATGGCTGCAAGAGGTGCTTCCTGGGACAGTGCTGCACACATTCAGTGTCTCGTATAGATGCATTGATTCAATTAATCTATACGAGGAGATGCTGATTGGCCAGGGCTGTGTTTGACTTGTGCTGGCTCTGCCCCTGATCTGCCTCCTTGACAATCTCAGCCAATCCAACAGGGAAGCATTGTGATTGGCTCAGACCACCACTTCTGATGCAGTCAGCAGACAGGGGCAGGTCAGAGGCAGACAAGTAAGATATTACTATATATAGGGAAGCAAGGGGAGCCCAGGGGGGCTAGATGGTGGTTTTAACACCATAGGGTCAGAAATACATCGACAAAATCTATTGCCAGTTCGGTCAGATTGACTATATTCACTAATCGGCACAATGTATTTTGTGTCCGTTTTAAAACCAGTGCCTTTCACATCTGAACAACATACAAAGATTATGTATAAAGCACTCATTTTAATCTAAATAGGGAGAGAATGCATCCAGCGGCATGTACATTCGCAAATAATCATTAACTTGCTTTTATGCAAGAGAATAATTATTTTAAATACTAAGTAAGTAGGCAAATATGAGAGGTTTCGTTGAGCTCTCATTCTGCATCCACTAGGACCACTCTAAAAGACTGGAGCAGATGGGGGGGTGTGGCCGGACATCGAGAGAGATGGACGCACATTAAGTGAGCTCCGCTACTACGGGCTCCACAACGCGGCTAAAACAAGCTTTTCCGGGTGATTTCCCCAACCCATAACGCTGGAACGATGTCCCAACACAGGAGAAAGAAACACACGGGGGCAAAAGACAAATCAGCCTTCTTTGCGGCTAGAACGCCACAGCATAAAGCCGCCGACCCACAGGCCCAAGATGGCGCCGACCCGGATTACGATCCTGAGCGCGACTATACAGTGAGTAGACAAGAAGATTGCTCCCTGACCCAGAGTCTCCTACAATCCATGCTTGATGCAGCAGTCACCAAAATGCAAACTACTGTCACAGAGGCCCTCAATGACATGAGGAAAGGCCTCAAAGAGCTGGAAGCACGGACCTCCCACCTTGAGGGTAATGTGGAAAGCCTCACAGGGGCCCACAACGAAACTGACACACGCCTCAGCAAAATTGAGGATCAGCTTCATAGACACGAGACCAAACTAGCAGATGCAGAAGACAGGTCACGTCGCAATAATGTACGGTTAAGGGGTGTACCTGAAGATATCGCGCCGCAAAACTTAACGGCCTACGCCGTAGAGTTCTTCCAAACTTTGCTTCCAGATATCCTCGCAGAAATGTTCCTATTGGATCGCATCCATAGGCTTCCCAAGCCACAACACCTGCCACCTACCACTCCGAGAAACGTCCTCATGAGACTCCACTACTATCACATCAAAGACCAAATACTACGGACACACCGTACCAAAAAGGACTTACCCACTCAATTCAAGGACATCCTCATGTTCATGGACTTATCAGCGGAGACACTACGCCGCAGGCGATCCTTTAGGGCCATAGCAGACACGCTGAGACACCATCATGTGCCATACCGCTGGGGCTACCCGGCCAAGCTGCTTATATCGAAAGGAGGGAAACTTATCTCGGCAACTACACCAGCAGAGGGACTGGACCTCCTGCAGCAATGGGGTATGTCCCGGAATACGCAGCCGAACCCCAGGAACTCCGGTAAACCGCAACCCGAAGAATGGCGACCTCAGAAGACGAGACGCACATCTCCAAGAGACGAATGAGCCTGTTCAGCGAGATACATCAAGTTCTAAACATGTTTACTCTGTTACTCACCTGTTATACACTAGGTTATAATGTGATGATAATGCACTGTTAATTGCTTACTAGTACCCTTATGATATGCCCCTGAGACCCTCCCTCTGGAGACGGGAGCAGCATTAAGTGCGTAAAACCACAGGGCCCTGCCTAAAAACCCTTCCCTACTTACATAGAGCACGCCCTATCGGCTACAGACCCCTACGGTCACAGCCTCTACCGCTATAAAACAGGCTCTTAACGGTGTTGATCGATCCAAACAATGCATGTTCACCACATATATGGGCGGGGCGCACCCGATTCACGTTGGGCCCGCAGCGACCTCCGCTCGCCTCGAACCGACCACAACACCCCCACCTAGGAAGTGCCAAAGTTTAGGCACATACCTCTAAAGTCACCATTGTAAGATACTTTCTTTGATTATTGCTTAATTGTTTTATTATCTTATTTTGTTTTATTGTGTTCTGAAAGTTATATTGTACACCTGGTTGCAGCCGCCACCACGGATATCCATTACTGACCCATACGGTCATCCACACCGGACGCACTGACAGACCCCCCGACCCAACAGGACTGAGACCGCCTCCCTTCCTACTACTACGACGCGCATCCACACCATACAACTAACAAATATTAGTCACATACACAGCATACACCACCCACGGAAAATGAAGATAAATCCACACAACGTAAGGGGACTGAACTCGCCCAACAAGCGACATACCCTCCTCAAAGAACTCAATAACACGCACGCAGACGTGGTTTGCTTACAGGAGACTCACTTTAAACGGGACTCTCACCCCATTCTAGGACTCAAAACCTTCCCACACCAGTATCATGCTACCTCTCCGAACAAAAGCAAAGGAGTGTCGATACTGCTAAGCCACACTCTAGCCTTTGACCTAATCTCAATCGACTCTGACCCGAAAGGTAGATATATCATTTTAATATGC